TACAAATGTAAGGAATGTGGCAAAGCTTTTAGGTGTAATTCATTTCTTACTCGACATCAGAGAATTCATACTGGAGAGAAGCCCTACAAATGTAAAGAATGTGGGAAAGAATATACTCAAAGAGCAGGCCTTGCTCATCACCAGAGTATTCATACTGGAGAGAAGCCCTACAAATGTGAAAAATGTGGCAAACGATATACTCAAAGAGTAGGGCTTACTCAACACCAGAGATTTCATACAGGAGAGAAGCCCTACAAATGTAATAAGTGTGTTAAAGCTTTTAGGTATAAATCAAGCCTTAGCCAGCACCAGAGAATTCATAATGCAGAGATTCAAGTTGAAGAATGTGGGAAAGGTCTTAATGAAAGAGTATGGCTTACTCATCACCAGACCAATCATAATGAGGAGAGGTAGTACAAATGTAAAAACTGTGCAGACCTTTTAGCAATGGCTCAAACATTGCTTATCACTGGAGAATTCATGTGTGTAGAATCCGGAACAGTGTAAATACTGTGCCCAAGTCTTTACACAAACTTCAAATTTTTTTTTAATATTAGAAACCTGATACCTATACGGAATGGGGAAAGATATTTGCCTGAAATATATGCCTTAAAAAACAGCAAAATATCTACAATAAAGAAAACATCTTTAGAAATATAAGAAATATAGCAAAGCCCTTATCTGTACTTTGTATCTTGATATATGTGAGAGGGAAATGAGAAAATTCTTTTAACTTTTGTTTAAAATTTGTTAAAAATCCCTAGGTGAGGTGGGAGAAATAAAGAAATTATCACAAGTACTATAAAATAGTGCAGAAAACTTGACTCAGGAAGTATGTAAATATATTATAAATCAAAGACTTCTCAACATTTTCACTTTTGAAAACTGAAGAAAACAATTTAACTTAGATTCTTTTAGAAGAAGAAGACTTGTTCCTCAGAGTTGTTAGTCTATAATTTCAAGTCTTTATAGTGGATTATAAAATCTTTATCACATTGTGTATAAATTTTCCCACTAAATAAAAGTAAAACTTTTAAATGTTTAACATGTTAGGTGTTGAATCATGGTAATATGTCAGAGGTATTACTTACTGTGTTCCTGTTTACTAAAGGTTCCATGCAACAGATAGTAAAAACATACTAAAATATCTCCATTAATCTTTTTAGAAATATTAGCTCATTTGGAGAATAGTATTCACATAAATCAGTGTTGAGAGCCACAGCCAAAGGGGCCCCAGGAAATTTTCAGACTGCCAGCTGATGATTGGCTCACAGCGGCCCCAGCAACATCTTGCTGATTGGCTCCTTTGCAGTGGTGCTTCTTGGGCTATTTCCCTGCCCTTTTAGACCATGGAGCTGCTCATTGAGGGACTATTTTGGCTCCGCCCACACGACCCAGCAAATCGGCCTCAAGAGCAGGAGGATTGTGGGAAGTGGAGAGGCTTGTGATGAGGTGAGAGGCTTGTGGGAAGCCA